ACGACAAAGGATTACGAACCCATCATCGATAATACGCTACCGTTCCGCACATGGACTTCTCTACTAAATGTCATGCAAATGGTTTTGTTGTTCCTCGCCAATATTCGAGCAGCTATTGCAAAGAAAAAAGGAACGAACGTACAAAATCCAAACTACAATGCGGCAGCAACTGTTGCTCTATTCCGACAAGCACAACTCCACAGCCCTATCTCATCTAGCCAGAAGACGAGCCTCCGAGCATACTTCGACGACAACTGCCGTGTGTGGAGATCTCGCGGAAGAACTAACAATTCCTCTCTCTCCTTTGACGCGAACAATCCGATTATTCTACCGCGACGCAACTGGATCACCGAACTTTATATTCTCCATCAACACATGAAATGCCACCACATCGGGACTTCACAAACGCTTACAATGCTACGACAACAAGTATGGATCCCGCAAGGCCGAGTTGAGGTACGACGAGTAATTAAGAAATTTTGTTTTTACTGTAGGAAAGAAAAAGCTAAACCTTTTCACTTACCGCTCTTTCCTGATCATCCAATTGAAAGAGTACAACGGCCAAGTTACCCGTTCTTTAATAGTGCTGTGGATTACCTAGGGCCGTTTGTTTTGAAAATTTCTAACGAGAATTCCAAAGTTTGGATAGCTTTATTTACTTGTCTCAACACCAGAGCCATTTATGTGGACATAGCGAATTCCCTCAGTGCTTCATGTTTCCTACACATTTTACGTCGCTTTATTGCCACTAATGGGACCCCCAAATACTTGATGTCAGACAACGCACCAGCATTCACAGCAGTTTCCGAAGTCATGTCTTCGACAACTCCCACTCAATGCCAAGACGTCATCGACTACTGCTCTGCTCACAATATACGCTTCAAATTCATCGCAGCACTAGCACCGTGGCAGGGAGGTGTCTATGAAAGAATGATTGGCATCTTCAAAACTTCATTCAAAGCAGCAATTCAAAATCAAATACTCGACTACGACGAATTCGTTACGCTGATGAAAGAATGTGAAGCCATCGTCAATAGTAGACCAATCACCTATGTCTACAGCGACATCGACTCCGGATACCCACTCCGACCAATCGATTTTTTACGTCCCCTCTCAATAGTAGGCTCACCTCGTCTTGTTGAAGAAAATGACGACGATGACGAATGGAAACCCGACAAAACGCCGAAAGATTTTCTTCACAAACAATGGAATACAACACTAACGCTGCTGAATCGGTTTTGGCAAAGATGGAACGAAGAA